AGTTTCAAAGTTCAGGTTGGGTCAACACTCTCAGATGCAAAAATCCAAGGAGTTCCACAAGGTTGCATCCTGTCTGTCAACCCTTTTTTAATATAAAAATTAACAACATTGTTTGAATCAAGGAATTGATTGGCTCATTATACATAGATGACCTTCTGATCTACTACAGATAAAAAATATGCACATGGTAGAATGGCAACTGCAAATGTGCCTAAATAAATTAAACTGTTGGACTATTGAAAATGGTTTCAAATTCTCCAAAAACAAAGTGTATCCATTTCTGCAATCAGAAAAAAAAATGCACAATGATCCAACTCTTAAACTTAAAGGAATTGAAATTGAAGTGACTGATCAACATAAATTTCTGGGAATCTTTTTTGCTAAAAAACTTACTTTCTTACTTAAAATGCATAAAGCATTACAATTAGTATGGATTGTGGCTAACTGGGGAGTAGATCGCATTTCACCTCTAAAATTATATAGTGCTCTAATAAGATGTAAACTGGACTACAGATGTCTTATATATGGGTTGACCCGGAAATTCTATCTAAAAACTCTTGACCCCATTCACCATGCAGGATTAAGACTGGGTTTGGGTACCTTCCAAACATCACCCATAGAATGCTGAAGCTCATGAGGTACTGTTAAAATACAGACATGAAAAACTGGCATTACAATATTATCTAAAACTCAAATCCTGCACATCTAACCCTGCTTATCACTGTACCTCCAAATATAAATACAAATTTCAGTTTGATAAAAAAGAAAATACTATCAAACCTTTTGGCCTTTACATAAGAAAATCTCATCAGCAAAACACAAATAAATCCAACCCTAATTCTTAAAGCCACCAACTCAAAAACCCACCCTGGTTAATGAAGTACCCTACGATTTTGCTAAACCTTACTAAATACCCTAAAATTAATTCTCACTTATCCAAGTACATGGAAGAAAGCTCACCCAAATCATAAGCATATATACACTGATGATTATAAAACCTTGGACAGAGTTGGATGCTCTACTATCCTTAACAACATAATGCAGAAAAGATTGCCTGACAAAGCCCCAATCTTCAGTGCAGAAGCCACAGCCATACACTTGGCTTTAGATATTATAGAATCCAGTGGGTCAGATAGATTTATCATCTTCTCAGATTCACTATCTGTACTCACGGCTCTGAAGAATAAGAACCTGGGAAACCCCTTAATAAATAAATTATTAAATAGGATTGGTTCTATTTATAATGAAGATGTTGTAATAGACCTATGCTGGATACCGAGCCATATTGGCATATAAGGAAATGGAAAAGCTGACAACATCGCAAAGAAATTAATGAACATGTCCCTCTCTAATATAAAGGTACCACATACTGACTTCTGACCCACCATAAACAGGACCATTAAAGAAAAATGGCAGCAATTATGGAACAACTGTGTAAATGATAAACTTCTCAACATCCAACCAATCATCAGTGAAAGACTGTCAAGTTACAGAAAGATAAGAAGAGACTAAGTGGTACTAGCCAGACTTTGTATAGGACACACATACATAATCCACTAACATCTACTAAAAAATGAGGAACTGCCAATATGTGTCCCTTGCCAGGAACCATATACTGTCAAAGACATTCTACTAAATTGCTGTAACTTCCAGCAAACCCAAATCAAACTCTACAAATCAGATAACTTAAAGGATCTATTTGAAAATACCAATTTAATTAACATCATAAATTTCATTAAAGAAATTGGACTTTACAGGAAAAAAACCCCAAAAAACTGTTTACCAAATCTGCTTACCTACATTGTTTTGTAACCTATTTTGGAAGGAAAAATTATTTCCAGCAATACATTTTTGAAGAAAAAATATTACCAGCAATGTATTTGACTCTTGACAAAATCCCTCTTTATAGAATTTGTCAACGAAACCTTATCTACAAAATGATTCCTTACAAAGAATATACAAACCTATCAGAAAAATCTTGTCAGCATTAAATAAACTTTTGAGGTTGATATGCCGTTAAACTAAATAAACTAAGCCTGATAGCTGGTTTAAAGATGTGAAGTGGCATGACATCATCCTCACATGAGGAACATTGTCTACAGCAAGCCATCTGTTGTTCTGGGTGTTGTACAGCTGATCCTGACAAAAGTTCTTTTCATCAGAGAAGAACCAGATTGTCCCTGGTTCAATGGGATGCTTTACCTTGTCCAGGAGTTTCTTTGCCTTTGTCAGAGGATTTTTTCAAGCTTTTTTTGTAAGAAGTTAACCGTTACACCTCTTGTATGACTAGTAGCAGAGGCCCTCATTCAAGGCCAGCTTCATGGTGGAAATTGTAACATATTTCCTGTGCCAAAGCCCACATTCCCTTGTCTGGGTCTTCCATCACTTTTTCCTGCTGTTGTTGGATGAGTTATAGTGTAGGAAAACAATCAGAACATCTGTTGGGTTTTTCCTATAAGCCACAACTTTGTAGTCACTGTTGCATCTCTCTATTTCACGTCTTGTTGTTTTCAAAGGGTTCAAAGTACATTGAGCAGCTGTCATGGTTGATGTCTGGCATAAATCATTATGAGCTGAGAGGTTGAGTCCATTAAGAATTATGGGGGAGATAAACATGCTGCAGCTGCTAGCAAGAACCTACCAAGTTATGAGGGGAAAACTTAATCTAACAGCAACCAGAACAATAACAGATATAACAAATGCCTGCATTATTTTTTTTTTATGTCAGTAATGTTTGCCTTAATTCCAGACCATTAAGGATTTTTTTTTCTTTATTTTCAATGCCTAACATACAAATTGATTGCAGAACCTTTTTAAAACATATTAGCAAAAAATTGCAAAATTTGGTAGTTAAATCATTAAATTCTACTGTTAAACACAAATATTACTTTGGTGACTTTCATTTATTGATTTTCCTGTAAACAGCCATTACCTTCTGTGGTGAATGTACAGACAAAAAAGAGGCTTTGGATTGCATGCAGACAATACCAGTTACGTCCAAGTTTTTCCCATTGGCAGCAGGACAGTTTGGCATGTTTAGATATGAGCATCTCTGCAACTAGTCAAGATCTGGGTCTTTGTAAGATGCCATATGCCAATAAAACAGGGAAAACCAGCAGTTGACAGTTGGGAAGACATAGTGTCTTGTGAAGCCAGTTGTGTGGACATTTTTGTTCCTCTATTTGCTGTGGTTTCCAAAGCAGTGTTATTTTTGTTACCCTCTTGTGTCTAACCCTCAACTATCCATAGTTGTTGGGAGAGCAATTGGTTAGGTGTTTCCCCCACCCTCAATGCACTATTGCCATACATTAAAACACCTTCTTGAATTAAAACTAACCCTCACCAAGAATTGCTCTCTTGCAAATTCTTGTGTAAAGAGGGTAGCTTCTAGTGAAAATCAAACATATGGGAAAACTTTTTGTACACTTCTGAGGTTATTTCATATACATTTTCTATTTTAAAATTATTCAATGTCTTGAATCATGAATATGATATTTGCTTTTTCTATTCACATTAAATCAAAATTTTGGCGTCTACTTTCTCTATATACTTTTAGTATTTACTGCGTCACAAGATATATCGAAGTGAATCAAAGTTTTACTTGAATTGTTTCACAAATCCCATGACATGTTATATAAACAACTAATTTTATGTAGAATGCATTTTAATGTCATTCAAAAGCTGTATTTGAAAATATCAAGTTACTTCAGAAGTTAATAGAAAAAGTAATTTAGAGGTTGTAGACTATCTTGGTTTCAAAACAATGATAAAATGCAATGAAGAGTCAGAAAGTTTAAGGTCAAACTACATGTGAAACATTTCAAATTGAGTAATGAAGGTCACTTCTAGATCATTTCACATTAATGTGGAGGTCCTTCACAGCTATATCCTTGGATTTATGTAGTTTCTTATCTTGATCAATAACCTTCCTGGTGTCATCAGATCCAAACTAGGTATTTATGCTGATGATACAACTATTTACTCCTGTCTTAATAGTAAGTCCAATATGTTCATCAAAGTAAAACTATTGAAAATGACCTCTATCCCATTGTTAACTAAGGCAAGAAATGGCTTGTAAATTTGAATGCATCCAAAATGAAACTGCTATCCTTGAATTATCATAAACCACTTTTGCTTTCCTTCAGGTGAGCAACTCATTGCACCTTTTGTGCTCACATTTTTTACTAACATGAAGTGGAGCAATTATATTGAACCAATTGCTAGGTTTTCTGCTAAGAAGGTTGGTTCACTGTGTCATGCCAGACAATTTTTCTTGTCTGTCTGATGCTCAACCTATATACCTCAAAATCCAAAGAAGGGTCTGTAATGTTATAGGTCCTGACCTGGCATCTTCAGTCTCTTTCCCACTGCTGTGACATGGCTTTGCTCTGTCATTTCTATAAATATTTTCATGGCAATTGTTCTAATGAGCTCTCCTCCTAGGCTCTCTTTCCAGACTGTCTTGTCTGGGGTGGTAGACAAACCCGACCCTGTGTATGTGGGGTCTACAGAGAATTTATGCCTGAGCCTACAACTTGGAATTGCCCCACATAAAAACCGGCCTTGTGCTACATCCTGCCTTGTGGGGAGGTCTCCTCCTTGGTTCCTCAAGTGGATGAATTTGTCTACTACTAGATTGGCTGCTAGGTCTCATCGTTTTACTGTTGAAATAGCAAAAGATGTAACTGTAAGTTCTATTTTAATAATTTCTTTTTTTACACTTTTCATCTGTGGAACTTTTACAATTTCTGCTTCCTCCACCTATGTTCTTTAAAAATTTAAATGCAATATCAATTACAATTTTCGATCTTCCTGAAACCTGTTCTTTTATTGTCCTTTCTTCTGACTAAAGTCTTCTTTTTCTCTTCCACTCCCAGTAACCCTTTGTGTCTTAGTGGTATTATTACCTTACTTGGGGTGAAATGGTTAAACAGAATTGAATATATAAAAAAAAAATCATACATTATTTGACAAATTGACAAAACTTTCCTTTGTTTCAGTTCAAGGAAGAAGGCTGCTTTATGGTTCCAGATTTTTTATCTGAATCTGAAGTTAAAGAGCTCATGGAAGAATGTCATTATCTTTTAGACAAAATGGATGTTGGTCAACAACACAGCACATTTGAAACAGATAAGGAGGTAAGGTAGAATTCTTGTCCAAATAGGATTGGAAGGTAACAGAAGTAAGCAAGAATTCTTGCTTATATATACAAGATAAAACTTGATAATTTACTTTATTTTCTAAAAAATAAATAGAAATAAAATTAGCAACAGTGAGTGAAAATAATTCCAGTAATTTAGAGTTAAGAAGAATGTTTCTATTTTGTCAACATGAAAAAATATAAGAAATAAATTCTGGGCAATAAACAATAGCATCTTGTTTGGTAAGCTTATAGTTTTTGAGATTAGTCTAGCATAAGGCCGCAAGTATGAAGGAGTGAGAATCAACCTCTCTATTTAGTAGTAATAGACTGAATTTAATTTACTAATCACTATCCCTATTTCTTTGTATTATTTGTTTTTTTGGGGTTTTTTTTTTGTTCCTTCAGGATACTGCCATGACTTGGGAAAGATAAAGTAGTAGTGTCCCATTGCCTTTTCCAGAGTTTTGAATAAGTTACTTTCTTAGATTGGCTGCGACCTAAGGCTAGAGAGCTTGGTCAACTCTGCTATTTAACCCATAGCCAGATAGGAGAAGAACTGGATTCATGCAAAAGTGAATGCAACAAACTTAGCTGTAATTTTAACTCAGCTTGCCATTTCTGCTTTTCGACATTGATAACTATTATGCAACTTAGACATTTACATGCCCCCCCCCGTATAATTGTTTAATACTAATTACTGTAGTGTAATGTAAGTCCACAAGTATGGGATACCCAGTGAGGAATAGTAGTAGTAATCTGTAAGATCAGCTTGTTAACCATTACTCCAAATTGAGATTTCCAGCAAGCTTGTCTTATATACAGTTATACTAATATTAGACCCAACTCTCACAATGTATCCTAAACCTGTTAAGTTTGTGCAGCGTGAAGTTAAGCTTTGTAAACAACATGAAGCCAGATGTGACATGTATGAAAGAGAATGCTTATGACCACTCCACCAAGATTTAATATTCTAATGAAGGGCTGTAGGGTACTTAGATAACAAAGATGATAAAATTAAACAATTACTAAATCTTTTGCCTGATACTTATTAAAATATATTATTTCATTTTCAGTTTAAAGATGATTACTTTATGACGAGTGGTGACAAGATTCGTTATTTCTTTGAAGCTGATGTTTTTGATGACGATGGTAAGTTCTGACTGTTGTAACAACTGATTCTGATATTTACTTGGGAAAAATTAACAAGCTAAAGTTATGTCCCTTATTTACCTATATAAAATGCATTGTGTATCCATATATGTTTTATTTTTTGTTTTAGCATTCTGCTTCCATTTGATTGTATTATATTATTATTATTATTTTCAATTCAGCAAATACTATTAGTCAAAAAAAATTCAATGCAATTTCTATGTAATAGTTTCTTTCGACAGCAAATTTTGTGCAAATTAAACACCAAAGTGAATCACAGAAACCTTGAATAATTCTCCAACTTCTCATTGGCTAATATATGTAAAAGATCTTACAACACCTACGCAGTTGTGTTCAAAGTCAATTTACTGCCAAAATCTGGTTATGTGTTCTTGAGCCTATCACATAGTTCACTTTAATTATAAATACTTTGACACATCTTCTTTCTTTCTCTTTTCTCTCTCTTGCCTTCTCTCATATACAAGATGTAGCTCAGTGGAGAGGTCGCATTTGTCCTTGTCAAACTGTTTAATTCTCTTACAAGTAACAATACATCGTACTAAAGTTCTCCAAACTCACACACACCTTTTACTACACTTCACAGTTTATCAACAAGAACATTTTCCTCACTCAAAATTCCAAGGACAAGTAAATTTCAGCATTTCAAACACAACTGAATTACTGTCTGTACAATTGTTATGCATATATAAATACCATTGACTTATGTAAATTTTCTATTTGAATGATATTATTCTTGTTTGCTTATTCCTTGTTAGCATATTTGTAAAGTAAAAATAGTATGGATTGATTCGAGGCCGTTCAACCTGCTACAATGCACAGATGCTACACTGATCCTGGATTAATCAATGCACAAATACTATGATCCAATGCAGAAGTGTCAATTAATATGTTATTTTTTTATGTTAGCTATATGAGTTCAAAAATGAAAATGAAGACATTTTTTTTTTTTAATTGTCTTTTTTATTGAAGAACTGAAAAATTTGAAGAAAATAAAATTTTGTTTGAAATTATCTTTTACTAATAATTTTTTACTAAAATTTATTTCATCTTAATTTCAGTTGCTTTTTATCACAGCTTTCTGATCATCATTAAGCAGTATGGATTGAAAATCAAGATTAAACCTTCAGTATAGTTTGAACTCACATTTCTTAACCTTGGGATTTTGCATCTCTGGTTGCAGTCATTCAAATTTAACCATGTATCTTTTTATTCCTTATTTTCCTTGAACATTTCATGTGCAACCATATTCTTTATTTATTTTCAATTTTTACTGTTTACCAATGATTGTGAAATGATGATTTAGGAGTTGTGGTAGAAAGGCACTGAAATTAAGCTGAAAGAAATACTTGCAAAAAATTAATTAAAGATTTTATCTAAGATGTTCAAATAATATTATTGTTAATAATATCAGTGTATATTTTAAAAAATGGATGCAAATTAAAAATAAAAAAAAGTTGTCACTTATTCAAAGATAAAAATGAAGGCTGTATTTTAAAATTGTCTTTTTTATTTGTTTATTTTAATAATTAAAATATTATGAGGGAAAATAATAAAAAAATGTTTAATTTTTTTTTTCAGGCAAATTAAAAATGGAAAAGAATTTAGCAGTCAATAAAATTGGCCATGGTAAGTGAAGGAGGTCTTGAAAAATTATTTTGCAGAAATTTTATTTCTACAAATTTTTTTTTGTAAATGACAATTTGAAATTAAAAAATGTTTTATTTCAGAATCAATTTATTTGGATAAATTCCTTATTGCAATTTTTACTTTTTCTTGAAGAAACTTAACATATTTGATGGCATCTTACTTATTATAAAACGCAGATTGTGTGTGTGCGTGTGTCTCTGTAATGTTTATATATTGGATTGGATTTCCTACATTTTTCAACCGATTTCAACAAAACTTCACAGGACTACATAAAATTACCTTGTGGTGGTTCTAACAGCGCCAAAAATGGGAAAAACATAATTATTTTTGCACAAAATCAATTTGAATAGACGATTAAGAGACATTGTGAAAATGGAAGGGAGACAACTCACATCGGGTTGTTTGTGTGTGTGTGGGTTCCTTTAAATATGGGATCGGATTTCCTATATTTTTTTCCTAAGATTACAGAAAGGCTACCTACATTTTTCAACCGATTTCAACAAAACTTCACTTTTTTTTGGCATGTAGTGTTTCTTATTGTCTTGCACACTTTTTTCTTTATTTTTACATTCAGAATGCTTTAAAAATTCCATTTACAAGACAATTGTTTATAATAAAATTCTATTCAATTGGTAGAGACTCATAACGATTGAAAACAATGTTTTTGTTTGAGTTTGGGTTTGACCAATTCGTAAAAAAAGAAAAAAAAAAAAAAAAACTAATTAAGACATGCGTGTCCGTCAACCTTAAACAATAATCTTTGTCAATTTTATTTTTCAGTCTTTATGATGGTGGATATTTGATCTATCTCTTACTGTTATATCCCCGGGCAACGCTGGGCTCTACTGCTAGTAATATATAATACTATGCACATTACAATGTCTATCAGCAAGGGATGTGATATATGATACACTTTCAAGGGAATTGTATTTGTGGGGTTAGTTACCTGGATTTTGGGAGGAAAAATAAAATCTGAGTGCTGTGTCCACAAATACAACACAAGTTTTTTTATACCATGCAAAGAAATGATCTTCACAGAAAAAGAGAAGGTCAAGCTAAATATGACAGTAACATTTATACAGTCAGATACTTACATATTAAAAATCAATGTTCTTTATTATGATCATGAAGAGACCAATAATCGACTGTTCAAAATGATTTGTTGCAAGAAGTGTTTTTGTTACAAGTAAGGAAGTCAAGTGGTATGGTATACCAATATGTGTGTGTGTGTGAAGCATATGCTAATGAAATGTGTGTGACTGTGTGCTATAGCAGTAATTTTAAAACAGAAAAAAGAGGCAATATAGAACTTTCTTTTGTTATGTAGAAAAATTATCTTTTGTTATCATTGTCATGGTATGTGTGTATATGTTGTTGATTGAAGCCTGGTTTGGTTTGCTGTCTTTCATCGAGTGTTCTTCACTGACCATGTCGTTATAGATCTGGTTGCTGACAAGCTGTTTTTATTGCTATTGGTCAGCTCTGAATTGCTAGCTGAGTTTTGCGTGGGAATGTACACAGTAGCCCTGACCCATTTCCAGATCATTTGGAGTTCAACTGTGCAGACATCATAGAAAGTACATCACATGACTTGTTGTATCCAACCAGGTTCCAGAAACCTCTTATTTAATTTGGAGTCATTTTTGTACAGAGTTGTAAAAAAGTTTTGTATCTACTGAATTTAGTGAAGATTTATCTGTAGGCATGAAATATAGGAATTTATATCCTATATATTCACTGCAGAATCAGAAAGAACATAAGCTAAGAATTGTAACAACAAGAATAATTATATTGCTGGTCATTTTATAGAGTAATGTTTATTTTACCATCATGTAGTGAAAGAGATAATCATTTATTTTAAAAAAAAGTTTGTGTTCTAAAATCGATCTGCGAAGACAAATTAAAAAAATAGTTAGCAAAAATCTACTTCAATGACTATAATCTATGCTAATGTTCTCCCCTCCCCTGAATGGCGTGACCAATCAGAAAAATCTCTCGATGAATCAAAGCTGTTGTTTTTTGCTTATAAAGGCAGAAGATTTTCTGAGCTTTCGCAGAACATACATATATTTTCAATGTCGTGAGAAGGTTGGACATGTGACACCATTTTGTATTTCTACTTTGTTTGTTGGACTAGACGATGGGCTGTCATTTGAACTGCAATTTGGCTACAAGTGTTGCGGTCGAGAAACAGAAGATATCTATTGCACTTGCTACTATCAGTTGACAGTCTTTTCTTTACTACAACACATCAAGAGGTTTTTGGGGCATGAATGTCAGATTTTTTGTTCCTGTCTTCATCTGCAAGGACACAACTGAGCTCGGGTTCAAATTATTTCTGGAGACTCGAGTTGTATACCGTTCTAATTAGTCTGTTTTGTCTCTTTTTGGTATGTCATATGATAAACTTGTTTTACTGAAATTTATTTGAAATTAATGATATAGATATTCAATAATGACGTCCATTTGTGTTATCGCCATAAGATGACATCTGCCTCTCCTTAAATATACCTGTAAATGTTTTCTGGATAGACCAATTATGATTTCACGCTATGTCTGTCTCCGCATTCCATCGCTGTCCTATCTTGTGACGACCAATGTGACTTGGTATAAAGCGGCACCAAATGTGACGTTCTAAGAATTTTGCTGAATAAATGGGAATCTGGTTGGATTCAGTATCAGCCTTGTCGAATTAGCTCGCCTCCAACGTCTGGTTACCAATTTAACTGTTTAATTTCTAGTCTAACCTACCCACGTTGTACGGGAGAAAAATCTTAGGTATAAAAATGGCGGTGTTTGCCGGGCTGTAATGCAATCAGTCCGAAAAGGGTGATATCGCATTAAGTATATGTAAAAGAAAATAAGTAATATCACTCGAAAAAGTTCAAAGGTGTTAAAAAAAGGATAACAATATTTTATATCTGGTTGCTGAATACAGGACTGCGTCTTTCTCCCAAACCACTATATGGATTCATGACACTTTGTGTTTTGTTAGACGAGGACTTAACATCTTAAGTTGTTTGTTCTTTAAGAAACTGGTTCTTGGTGTATCTTCAGGCGATATTTGTAAAAACTTGTTTTGGTGGTGTGAGTCTAAGTCGTTCTTCAAAAATAAATTGTTCTTGATTAGAAGTTGAGGTCGATACTTTTGAATCTTCAGCTTTATGAAATCGTCAGCTTCGCGCTGGGGCGGGTCTTCAGAGCTCTCAGCTCACTGCAATTTGCTTGCCTGTCTGTCTCCAACCCCAACTATTTAACCTCACTGGAACTGTTTTTTTCGGTTATTCTACTCTGCTTATATTCTTATTTTACCAAAACTGGGGTGGGCTTGTTGGGGTTTGAGGTTCCTTGATAATTCTAAATCCACAATCCACTTCTTCGTTTTCGGTCAGGAAAATTTATTATTTCCATTTTTGGAAGTCTTTCGTCCTTGTGGCACCATGCATCCAGGCAGAGAAGGAAAGGCAAAGAGGGAAAAGGAAAGAAAAGAAGAAAGGAAGGGAAAAAGTAATGCGAGACGGATCATAGGTGATAAGCGAACACACACACGCGGCTTAAGAGGCAATAAAAAAAAAAAAAGTGTTATTTTGGATAAGTGGCAAATGGCGGAAGAGTGTCATTACAATGACAATGAGATTGAGTGGGTAGGGAAGTGTTATCTAAGGATATGAAAACAAACTATTAGTATGGGAAGGCATCTTATCAAAACACAGACCACCGGCCAAGGGAAAAATTCAAGCGAAAATGTTATTTCGATAAGTGACGACAAGAAACAGGCGACAAAAAAAAGACTTTGGACAGATATGAAAATTAAAGGCCACCTGCGAGCAATCATTGACCGATTTTCCTACTTGGCCTGCGCGAATGGAATTGTGTTATCAAGAAATGTTTGCCAAAGAAAGTCCACTTGAAAATGTTAGATTTTGATAATTGACAAAACACAGGTGTAGCTACGGAGCCTTAGCTAGATATGGAAAATTAAAATCCCACACAATCAGTCTCACTAACTAAACTCTTTTCGACAAAACAAACTTTTGCCCTGCGATAATAAAATTTTGTTATCAGACACATGAACCGAAGGAAAATGAATGGAATAAGAAATGTTTTTATTTCTTCCTTGGAGACGTCAGACCGACTGAAAACTTGGAGAAAATTCTTTTCTGAGGCCATGTCATCTGATGAATTAGCGATAAACTGCTTGACAAAGGCCATATGTTGAACAAAGAGTTGTCATATTATCCGTTCATGATAACGGCGATTTGAAAGGAAGAAAAAAAGGAAAGGGATAATTAATTTTTAGTTAAGCAATTTTTTTCGAAACAAAGCCGCGGACTAAGACTATGTCATTGGTCAAGTGGTGATCACATGACGCACGAAGGAGGAGGAAAGATACCCGACCAAGGCCTCATTGGCCGAGAGTGATCACGTGACGCACGAAGAAGGCTGTCGACGCCCCATCCAGAGTATAAGTATGAGAAGCTGCTACGAAGAAGTGGGGAGGGCAGTTCACGCCCTCAGAAGCATGGTGAGAAAGTGGGAGGAAAAAAAGTTACCAAAATGGAAAAGAGTGGAAAATCCCTAACCAGAAATAAAAGAGGTGGATATGTATTTAGAATTATCGAGGAACTCCCCGACGCCAACAGACCCAACCCGGTTTTTGTCGGCGTCAATAAAAATCAGGCCCCAACAGGCAGAAATCAGTTCGAGCCCTGACCCCAGCAGAGATGAGTGTCCAGATAGTTCGAGTTCTCCAGTTTCCAGAGTTGATAGCTGACCAAGATTCACGCCTCAAAATTTTGGACTCCTCTTCAACCAAGAACAATTATTTTGAAGAGCGACTTAGGACCAGACCACCGAAATAAGTTTTTTCGACTTTGTCCAGAGACACACCGAAACACAAATTTCTTAGAGAGCAAACAACTTGAAGCGTTAAAACTTGCCTAGCGGAAAAACGACGTGTCACAATCCACAGAACGGGT